TGATGGACTGGCGTCCTGTCCAGGGTGTAACCCGTCATGTGGTTGTTTCTTCCTGGGATGCGTTCCAGCACCCCCACAACCCTGTATTGGATAAAGTTACCAGAAAATTAATGGATGGATGGATTAACTTGTATAAGACAAGTCACAATGAATCGATTAAGGCAGTCCAGATGTTTGGACTAGTCTTAATGTCATTTAATACAACCAGCCATAGGATCTTTTATTTACTGCACCCTCCATTCAAATAATCCCAACCTCTGAAAAACCAGTCCCCTCTCAGTTACTATTACATGGGATGAAAAACAGGAACTAGAAAAACTAGAAGGTAGTGCTTTCAAGGATGCAGTTGGGGACGACACTGTCATTTCCTCTAAAAACTCTGCAAACCAACTCATCAATTATAAAGGAACAAGGTTTATTCCATGCTGAAAAAAAAGGAAGAAAGAGAACACAACGTTTCGGCCGTGGAGCCTTCTTCAGGTGTGGGAAGGTGTTCACACACCTGAAGAAGGCTCCACGGCTGAAACATTGTGTTCTCTTTCTTCTTTTTTTTTCAGCAGGGAATAAACCTATTACTTGTTCCTTTGCAGCCTACGCATGCTGACGCAGCTACCCACCTGAACTATCATCAATTATAAAGCTGAACGTCAAATGAAGTCAGGGTTTACAACATACCTACGTATGCATTTTACTGTCCGAGATTGTCCTGGGTTTGTAGGATAGAGCATTTTTGGGTGACAGATTAAAGTTCTTTTAGATGTGATTGTAGCTCTGAGACCCCTTCTCAATGACAATTTCCAAATGACTATTCTTACCATCTTCAGTCACAACACCATTTGGTACTGTAGGTGGGGAGTGAGTTGCCTTTTAATCACACATGGTGGAATTCATTTGTAGTTGTTGCGCGTCCCATATTATTTGTATTTGCTGTATTGGATTGTAAAACCAATCAAACTGTGTTGGAAAAAGGACGAGTTTTGTGTTTTTGGAGTTCGACACATTACCTTTCCTGGTCTTTTCTGGCTTGCTCTGCAAGGAGGCCCTTCAGTTCCTCCAGCCGCTGCCGATCCCTTCTTTCCAGTTCGTCTCTCCTGCTCTGCTTCTGCGTGTAATACCGCTTGATCTGGGGGAAAGAGACATACCTCTCTGTTCATATAAACAAAATACACATGATAAAGAAAATAGGAATTCAAATCAGCAATGCATTTTGCCATGTGTACCTGCCACGTTCCTGGCCAGAAACTAAAACAGGGTGCTGGGGTCACTTAAGATCACAACCTTGCTGGGAGCAAAGTCTGAACTGAACTATTTCTCCCCAAACATTTCCAATAACTGCCTAATAGGGACACTAATCTGGAGCTTAACCTGGCTGACAATGGACTCAAAGTATGATACACTGGATAGTAGGTTGCAAACCCTGGCATTCATTTGCATGCCATTTGCATTGGATGAGTTGGTTTGCTCCATTTTTTAAAGGAAATGACAGTGTCATCCCCAACTGCATCCTAGACAGCACTAGCGTCTAGTTTTTCTAGTTTTTTCATTTTCATTTTTCATCCCATATAAAAGTAACTGAGAGGGGACTGGATTTGCAGAAATTGGGACCGTTTGAAGGGAGGGTTCAGAAAAAAGATCTTGTGGCTGGTCTAAACATCTGCGCTGCCTAAATTGATTATTTTAGACTCGTCTTATACAAGTTAATCCATCCGTCCATTCATTTTCTGGTATTTTATTCCAAAATACAGTGGTGGGGGTGCTGGAATCCTGGTAAGCAACAGCCACAAGACGAATACACCCTGCACAGGACGCCAGTCCGTCACAGGGCAGACAAAGACACAAACACAAACACACAGCACATACACACACGTATACCAGTGACAATTTAGAGTCACCAGTCACTACATAGCACAGAGCATATGCGTATACTGTGGGAGGAAATCAGAGCACCAGGTGAAAATCCACAAGGCCAAGGGGAGAACCTACAATTACGATACTCTAATTGTTACGGAATTACGGAACTCTCCTTCTTGGGTCCTTGTGAGGCAGTGACTTAAGCTACCCCCACCACCCTGTAAAAATCATTTCAGTTTCTCGCCAGGAACACGGCAGGTACACATGGAAAATCTATTGCTGAGTTTAATTCCTATTTTCTCTCTGTTTTCTTTATTAGGTGTATGCTAAATCTTTTGATAATATGAACTGGAATGATATAATGATTATCTCTCACTAAAGAAAAAAATAGCCTTTGAAGAAAATATTCTGCTACATGCACTGCTATCATCCCCTAACAAGAATACAGAAATCAACTACATAAATGTTCTTGTAAATTCGGGGACAATCCCATCCACTATGATGCAAGAAGTTTATCAGTTCTTCATTATCTAATGCATCAGTCATGTAGTGTTGTCTGACTTAGAAAAATACTGATACTGTGCTTGGCCTTCTGATTACTCTGACAACTCCCCAAGAGACTATCTTAAAAACAAATTTGCAGTTTTCAGAGTTATCTATGAGATTATACCAAGATAACTAGAAACATGAGATTACATATAGACAAATCACTTCTCACTTCATTAATCTAAAATGCTTCAGTGTAACACTAGGTATAAGACAATGCATCTGGGCATCTATGGTATAATAATACCAATTCTGACCATGCAAAAGCAGATATAGTGAAACCTGTAGTTAGTAAACTAGCTAAAGTTTCATTGCCTGAAAGATAATGTAACAAATCTATTTCAACCTAAAAGCTGTCATTAATCAGCCTTCATATAACATTCACACGAGCCCTACAGTCATAATTTAATTAAAGAGTTTATAAACCAAAACATTTTTTGTGCCATCTGTCAGTGTGTCACAGGGAACAAGGGAAAAATAAAATTCCTCAAGACAAATACAAATAGTTCTTGTAACAAGATATGGAACGAGTGGGGAAAAAACTGAACTTCTGTTTCATCTCATAATATCTCTCGTATTGAGTGGAATTGCTCAAGATTTACTTTCTCTTTTTGTAGATTTCTTCTGGCTTCATCTTTTTGTTGTTTTGCCCTCAGCCTGTCTTCTTCTTCTTCCTGTTTCCTAGCTGCTATGGCTCCTTCCAGCCTGGCGACTTCCTCCTGATGGGCACGCCACTGTCTAAGCTGGGGAGACAGCAGGGCAGTTGTCCGTCAGTAAAAAGCCGCGTTGCTCTTCCTCATCCCTCCATTTTCCTTTTCAGAAGGAAAAATGCCGAGAATGTTTTTACTGGCTTTAGAAATGCGACTGCAATTAAGAGTCACGCAGGAGCAAAGCTTTGACAACAGCTTTGAAGGCACTGAAGGAGCTGAAGTGGTCCAGTGAAGCCCAGATTGTTTTAGTGACTGGTCCCATTGGAAAGGGGGTGCTGTGTTGTAAAAAGCACAGACCCATGGGCCATGTCTAAGCCTTACACACATCTTTGTATGTTCGTTTGATAATTCCGCAATCCGCTCATACAAAACATTCAAATAGAATGCTAAGGGAATTTCTCTGTGGCAAAACAGTTATTTTCTTTTAAAAGCACATACTGTAAACATCAGTGAGGCATAACATGCATTTCACTGAAAAGCGTGCAGGTGACAGGACCATTAAGAATCAGGTTTCCACAGACTTTATCTACAGCTAGGATGGAAGCATCTTATCACAAATAGCTGTGCAGCATTATCAATAGAGAACAAGTGCTTTTGCAGATAGCTCAGGCCATCCCAAATTAAACACAACAACAGTTAATTCTGTCCCACTCTACTAAAGTGTAGCATATAGAACTCTATGAACCACATTTCCCCAAAAATATTTCATCAATACTTTGAAGAAAATTAAATTGTTCGTAGATCACTTAATTGGAGTCTTCTCAAGACAAAAAAAATGGTTTGCTAAAATAGGAATATAATATTTTTCTTGGTGAAACTGAAAATGCTGAAAGTGGAAAAGCAAATGGGAAATTAGCTCGTAAGATAATTAAAAAGCATTAAAAGCAAATAATATTATATCAGTCAATATGCCCAAACACATTACACATACAGTACATATGTAAGAGATAGATCATCTGAGATGTCTGGCATATTTGGTTTCATAATATCATTACTGATATGATTTTAATGCCCTTGATAATTTTAACTCCTACAATTGCCCAAGTTGCAAAAATATCCCCTGAACTGAACGACATTGTGAAAGATGCCCTTGTCATCAGAAACTCCCCAACACTATTTTCTAAAAGAGCTCAAGGGAAAATGTAACATTGCCTGCTTCCCATGAAGCAGCTCAATACTCTGCAGTTTATTATGGGCTTCAGTGGGCAAAACAAGCAGTGACATGTCAACATACCTTCCAATCATGCAGAGATTTTTTTTTGTTACAAGCTCTTATCAAAAAGCTGCTTAGGTACAACCGGACAACTCAACTAAAAAATAAAACTAAGGACAAGGAAAAAAGAACTTGCACAATCTATTTTCAGGTAATTGAATGTTTGCCTTGACATTCCATTGATGTTGCTGTTTTGTACTTGAGTCTTACAAATTCCAAAAGCAAGATTCACAGTTGTGTAAATGACATTTACAATACACACTACATAGGTTTCAGGTCACAACCTCTCTCTTTTTGACACTTAAATCAGTGCAGTTTGAATCAAATCAAATCAGTGATATTCACATATTCATGAAGAATATATAACAGCAAAGTAACACAGAAAAGAGCTCATGGCCCTTATTTCAGTCTAATCAACTTTGTAAAAATCATACTATTAACATACAAATAACTGTAATATACAACACAATCAACAACTGACAAATATACAGTACCAGTTTATCATTCAAATTTAATTCAGATGTGGATTGCAATGAAAGTAATTAAAGTTCACCGATTTGTAGAATAAAATGTATATCATTTTTGTCTTGAGAAATACTTTAAATTCTTCCCAGAAAAGATCTTTCTAAAATGGTGGGAATTCCCACTTCTTGTGTTTCTGTTGTGACATTAGTGAGATCAGAAAAGTAATTGCACTCTTCCGACAATATGTAGATCATTTTTCCAATTTTACTTTTTCCCACAAATCCTGTAAAACCTAGATTATTTTTAGTAAAGTGTAAACATCAATACTATTTCTTTCACAAATAATACCTTACTATAGCCTTCACTCTCTGTTGACTGTTTTCTACAGTCTTTTGAAAGGCCAGACATTCTGGCGGCAAAAGACACAGAACATAAAATGAAACTAGTCAGCAGGATTAGCAGGAAAAGCCACATCTTCTGAAATCACATAATCAAACCTAATCTTCAACCTGGCTCAGAAACAGCAGCTTTCAGATAAATCTTCAAAACATTATATTCTGTAGACACTGGTACAAAATATTATTCTGATATTCTCTCAGGATTAAATATCTTATTAAATAGAACAAAACTATGCTACAAGGTGGTGGTGTTTTAAAATTAATGAGATACCTTTATGGATTTTAATAGGTTCTGTGTATGTTGTACTGAAGCTGCACTAATGAGAGTAGCAGTGGCATATGAAATCCTAAGGTACAATATCACTTTTGTTATAATTACAGAAGCATTGAGAATGCACAATCCTGTTCAACAACAACTGTGAAAGGCCAATGGAATGCACAGACATGGAAAACGTTTGAAGAGAAATTAGTTTTCAGGTTAAAATGTTACATATAAATACACTACATTCCTAATGAACTATTATGTCAAAAACTAAGATATATGGCAAAATAATAATTTTGACAGCCAATTCTAGCCAATCCATTATTTTGAACCTTGATTTATGCAAGAACATTAAACTTGTTTCCCTTGTCGTGGGACAAACGTATTGCTAGGTGTTTGGATTTGAAGTTGAATTAGGCCATGCACTCGAAGTCAAAATGCTTTGATTGGAACAAAGCACCTCTGAAACAAAGATGACCAATTTACAAGTTACTGCATTTTTGTGAATGGTTTTGAATGCCTGCTGGTGATAAAACTGTTCACAGAAAGCACTGTG